CGGGGCAGCGTCGTGGCGACGGGTCCCTTCCTACGACAGGGTGCTTCCCGGCACCCCCAGCCTCGGGTCCAGACTGAGCCGCGCCTGTTCCTGCTGCAGCTGCTCCGCCATTGCACGTCCTGGGGGCTCTGAGCGGGGGTGGGGGTTCGCAGGCTGCCCCCCTCCCCGGCGCTGCGGCAGAGGCTGGGGTCCGGATTGCCACCTGCAGTGGTCCTGACTAGAGATGGCCCCACATTCACGGAGGAACAGACAACCCCGGTGCTGGAAGGGGGGAGTCGTGGGCCCCTCTGCAGGTGGGCCGAACAGCGAGGCTGGCACCAGCAGGATCTTCTGTGGTCTCAGGCAGTGCCCACCTGGCCAGGTGTGCAGGGCAGGTGCAGAAGGCCAGTCCTGCAGGGGATGCAGGCCAGACAGGGAAGGGCAGTCTGCTAGGAGTAGCCAGGGATGTGGGTATAAGTACTCAGCCCCGCTCCCCAGCCCGAGGTGAGGTCCGGCGGATTTGAGCAATGTGAGAGGTGATGGGGGAGGGGAGATGCATGCCCCTCCCCCAACTCTCCTCCTGCCCCACGGTGGTGAGGAGGGTGTCTCATCTCCCAGCCCAGGAGAGCAACACCGTGACAAGCCCCATTGTTTCCCCATCTCAGGAGCTGGCGCCTTCCCCTCTCCTGGGGCCCCTAACCCAGCCTGGCCCCAGCTGGGCTCCACGCGCGTCAGCCCCTCCTCTGACCAAGGGGTCACTGGCTGCCAGGCGCTCAGGTGGGCAGGGGCCCCTGGGGATGTCTAATGGCATCATTCGGCCCAGGGGCCTCCCCAGAGTCCCTGAGCCCAGTGGGGAGAAGCAGAGGGAGGGGGCAGCCTTGTGATATCCCCAGGTTCCCCCTGGCAAGGCGCACTCCGCCTGCCTGCCTGCCTGCCTGCCTGGAGGCCTCCGTAGTGAGAGAACATGGGGCTGGCCTAGAAAGGCCTAGGTTCAAATCCTAGCTTGGCCACTTGCTTATTGCATGATCCAGGCAGGTGTTTGTCCTCGCTGGGTCCCATCTGTTAGGTGGGCTGATTAATATTGATTCCTGCCTGGAAAGGAGGCGGTCGCTGTTCAACAAGTGCTAGCCCCACGCTGGCCAGGATGGCAGTTCCCAGAGCTGGCTCACCAGCCCCACCCCCACAGCCAGCCTTCAGTGCAAATCTGCCCTCCAAGAGATGAGGCTGGAGTGGAGGTTAAGGGAGATGGGGGGCTTGCTTGAGGCTCCTGGAAAGTCCAGAGCTGGGGCTGGGTGTGCTCAGTCCCCTCCGACCTCCGAAGGCCCCAGGGTACCTGCCCCTGCCCTGCTTCCCCTGCCCTCTGCCAGGAGTTGGCACACAGGTTTCCCTGAGCTGCTGCAGAGGCAGCCTGCAGCCTGGGAGTGTGTGGCCGGACCTGGGCAGGTGGGAGAGGGGGAGGCCACGAGGCTGGGGCGCAGGCTGGCCCCCCAGAACACCATGGCCAGCGTGGGAACAATGAGGCTCAGTGTCTCAGGCCCAAGCGCCTGCCTTTCCCGCACCAGCTGCCCTTTCTCCCGTCTGCCTCTCTCAGCCCCCGGCCCAGCTCTACTTCAGCCTGGGTGGCTACGCTGCCTGTAATTCTTTGGTGGTGCCATGGACCCCACCCACTGGCCTTGATTTCAGTCCTGCCCTGTCATCCTTCTTGGCTGTGTGCCCCAAGACTGGGCACTTACCCTCTCTGAGCCTTTGTTTCTTCTTCAATAAGCTGACTTTGCCCGCTGCTCAGGGTGGTCCTGACACGCAGATGACCCAGGGCTGTTTCCAGGGCTGGGTGTGTGTGCACTCGTGGTTGCACCCACGCCTCCAGGACCACGCTCAGCTCCCGGGAGGTGACCGGTAGCCCTACTCCATGGTACAGAGTAATGCCAATTGGCCTGCTGTGTAATTAAGGATAAAATTTTACCCTCAGAGAGTACAGAGTGACAGTGGTGATTCTAAATTACAAAAGTTTTGCCAGGCAGATATGAAACAATCTACCTATGATCCCAGCATTGGGAAGCTGAGGCAGGAGGGTTGCAAGTTCCAGCCAAGCCCAGGCAACTTAACCACTTAGCAAAACCCTGTCTCAAAACTTTCAGTATTTTTTAAAAGGCTGTAGATGTAGCTCAGTGTGAAGACCCTGGGTTTGATCCCCAGTATCACAAATGAAATCAAATAAATTGTTTTTAATTTTAAAGTTTTCTGTATCACTCATACCCATATGAACAGAGCATTATTATTATCCACACCTTTCAGATGAAGACACTAGGTATAGAGAGGTTAGGTAAGTGGCAGAGCTGGGATTTGAACCCCGGCAGTCTGATTTCAGAGCTACCCTGAGAGGAAGAGCCTGGAGAGTGGAGAAGCTGCTGTGAGGGGCCAAGCATGGTGACTCTGAAGGGTGGGAATGTCT